GTTTTGCGGCAACAAGTTTACCTTTAAGTTAGCACAATGATAACCATAAATGATTTACTATGTAAACAAATAGTTTTCTAAAACGTAGTAGTATCGTTGTATGGACTCAGTCAGTCAGTCAGTCAGCTTTTTTCAGCTTTTTCAGCTTTCAACTTTGGAAGAATACGTTTTTTTTTGTCCAAGAAATTGTATCTACGTGCTTATCTACACAAATTTTTAATTAAAGCCATCTCCGAGTGTCAACACAGTGTTGAGTATGAATTGTTTGCAGTTTTCTAAAATAATGTCCTCGATTTCTTGTTGTTGTTTTAGTATATATATATATATTTTTTTTTTTTTTGATTAATGACGAAAAATTGGTCAGAATGTAAATAACGCATTTTTCATTTGGTCCTCTTCATTACATGACCAAAAAGATACTCGTATTTGAAATTGCCTGCTTTGCATAAGTGCAGTGCAAATATATTTATTATTCAACATTTTAATTTTCATATAATGAGATGTTTAAAATGCTTGTTTTCCAAAAATTAATTAACTATGAAAGTATTTTAGAAAATATTTTTGTGCTTAATATGCAAAAATTAATTTTGAAATTGTTTTCTGCTTCATGGATATTGATGCAAAAATCCAAAAAAAAAAATCATATGAAATTCGGGGGCGGATTCTAGTCATTCTATTCTATTCAAAATGCAGCGTCTATAATCAAAAAACTATAAATATCTTATAAATAAATTATAAACATGATACGTTATTTCATCCAAGTAGTTTAAGTGAACTAGCTGTAACTAGATAACTAGTAACTAGATAATTTCTTTAAACAAGTTCAAAAATTATAGTAGTTCAAAGTTGAACCATTTTTTTTGAAAAATTTTTTAAAATTTGGAACTTGAGCAATAAAAGTTTGTGCAGCCTTGGCTACTTGTTGAAAACCGCTTTTAGTCATCGTTTCTAATATGACAGGCATGAGTTCTAAGCCTGGTACTTGCAATCCAAATAAATTATATGAAACCCAACGTCGATACGTCGTTTGATTTTGCTGAGGTAACGGTCAATTGCGATCTGGATCGTTGCAATAAATTTGTTTTAATGACTTGTTCGAGAGCTAGTAAAAAGACCAAGGAGAAAGTAAATAGGTTGTTTATTTTACTTTAAAGAAAGAATATCTTTATTATAATATTATAATACTAGGTAAAAAAGGCTTCTAGTCTATGTTGTTATAATTCTAAGTGGTTACAATAGTTTGTAGCCAATGGCATCAAAATGCCGGTGAGGTGAGGCATCAAAATGCCGGTGAAGTGAGGCATCAAAATACCGTGCAATGTTATAAACTATATTGATACAATGATTGTACTATATTGATACAATGATTGGCATTATAAACTACTGGTCTACAAATTTATCTAGCCTATAGTATCAGAATATTACTGGCGTGAAATTTTCCTAGCGATTTAGCGTTGATGTAGGTGTCTACTCGATTCGGTGTGCAGACTATAAATTAATTAAAAAATTCAATTATTTCCTAAAACCACTGATGATCAGTATTTGACAATACTCGAAACAGCGTTGTATGGTCAGACAAATTTAAATAAATTAACTAAAAATTTTTGTTGTTGTCTTTTTATTTCTATTCATAACCGTCTAACTTTTAAAAACATTTTCTATGTATTTTGTGAAAAATCTCATTTAAATAAAACATTTTTCAAATTTCTTTCGTTCATCTTTAATAAATTAATATATAACTATTAAAATAAATTAATTTTTCTACCACGCATTTTTTTTATAGTCATCTTTTGAAACGAGTAAGTGCTTTTTCAAAAAAAAACTCATTACTTCCCAATTAATCAAAGTTTCGTTTTACCGATGTAAAAACTGCTGAAATATTGAGAAGTAGAATAAAATGCGTTAATCTTCTAAGCAAAATTTTCGATATTTTACTTATAACATATTTGAATACTCCATAACATATATAAAAAAAAAAAAGTATGGCAACTTCGTTTTAAAGGTCATATCTATTGTATTTCTATTACTTTTTGAAAATGTTTTTTCCAAGAGTATAATAACATTCGCTAGAAAAACTATAGCAAAATCGATCTATCGTAGCTCTGTTAATTGGGTTTATTTATTAGTTAAGACCAGGAGTCTGAATATTTAATGGAAAGTATGTATATTTAATGAAAATATAATGAAAGTACACTTTATGTAATAATTAGTCTATGAATTAAGTAATTTAATAAACCATTTTTGGGATGTTGAGTAAAGTTTTCTTTAAACCTTAACTTTGTATCTCGGTTAATACACGAAAATGTACTAACCTTAGACTATATTCCTAGGTACTCCTCTATTGTTGTCGATTTTAAAAAAAAAACAAATTGCTCGATGTCAATGTAAGGTACTCCTTATTACAAATGTTGTAGTAGATTAAAAACATGTTGCGGGCCACACTAACATAAACCGCATATGGCCCGCGGACCGTACTATGGAAAGCTTTGGTCTATATCATGCTTAACTACCAAATAATAGAAAACATGAGAGTTAAATTATTATCTGCTTGGATAGTTTAATATTAAAAATTTTCTACGGCACATTTTCATTTAGTGCAGTTAGCTAGCATAATTTTTTTATAATAATTTTTTATAATATTTGTGTTTTTGTAAGTGCAGTAAGCGTGCATCTTAATTTAATTAATTAATTTTGTTTTGTTAATATTAATTAAACCATAACATATACACGTTTTGTATAATTGTATATATTCAATTGAAATGCAATAATATCTACAGTAAAAAAATCCACCTTGAGATGTCAGCTCTTTCAATGTCTAAACTTACATGATGTATACGGGTATGATATTAAGTATTTTTTCGTTAATTTTTTTTTTTTTAGTTTATAGGAAAACCAAAGCTACACATGACATACTCATACTTTTTAGGTAAAAAAAAAATATTATAAGAGGTTCTTCATTTTAACCTTTTCATGTTTATAAAAAAGTTTTTCAAACATAAATCTTGTGTTCTAAGTACCAAAATAAGGGAACTTATAGTATATACAGTATTACTAATTTTTGCTAAAGTCAAATACAAAAGTAAAATTTCTTTAAACGTTAACCCTTTTGTAACCACATTTTAATACAATTTTTATTATACACAAATATGTTATTTATAATCTCAAAGTATACAAATTTTATATAAATTTAACTCATATGTTATATTATATATAACTTATATACAATACAAAATATTGACTTTTGTTGCAAATTTCATTAATGGGTTAACAACACACAGCACGTTTCGGTTTTATGATTTGATCATATCTCTACTGATGAATAGATTTCTTAGTTGACCTATATGCGGTCTTCTGGTACTTGCAGTCTAAAAATTATTTACGAATAGTTTTGTATAGGAAATATTTTCCCAAAAAAGACTTGTCAATGGGTATTTGGGATTACTCGAAACAATTGTATTGTCAGCTACAAATTCAATTAAGTAAACATAAAATACAACTTTGTTATTGTAATTTACTCAAAAATCTTTATATTAAAAACAGAATTACAATTATGTAAAAATTAGTTTCACAAGTCTTTCAATAACATTTCGTATAAATCCATTAATTTATAGTTCATTATATTAAAACAAACACGTTTTTAGTGCTGTTAAAAAGCAATTAGCACTTAGCCTTTAGATAACTGTATTATGTTGACATATACTCATACCAAACGTATTGGTAAGAAAAACCCATGCGGCTTAAAACAAATACTTGGCATGGGTTTACAAATTTCTTAAATTGATTTTATGAATGTTGACTATTTAACTAACAATAACATCTCTATGAGCTATTATATTAAGTTCGTACTTGATATTAACAGAAAAACTTTTGTTGGTCCATGTATAAGTTCCACTTACATTTGATGTCTAATTTAGCTATCAAAAAAATTTCTGATTATTTAGCTTCTACGGTAAATGTATGTTGTTTAAAAAATTAAAAAATTTATTTGAATTTTTCTATAATATTCACTATAATATTTGACTTTAATTTTTGATGTTGTTAGCTGGCTTTTCGGGCTCTTGTTTATTTTATATATATTAATAATATATTAATCACTTGAGTGATTGAATTGAAATGGCTTTCTTTTTTAATTAATTAAATTCAATTTATAACTTTATATCTTTAATATTATCTATAGTATAAGGTTTGGAGGATTTTTGTAAATGTTTTTTTTTTAAAAAACTTAAAAATGTATTTGATTTTTTTTTTTTGGTGCTGTTAGCTGGCTTTTCAGGTTCTTGTTTATTGAAATGGCCTTTTTTCTAATTAATTAAATTCAATTTATAGCGCTATATCTTTAATATTATCTATAGTGTAAGATACGGAGGATTTTTGAAGAATATGTAGTTAAAGTAAATAGTTCATTATTTTGTGACACTGAAGTTTAGCAACTTTTTTATAAATAAATTTTTGGCAAAATGTAATACAATTATAAAAAGAAAACTGGTTCATTTATCTAATGTGAAAAACCTTGTAAAAAGTTCTAAGGTCAATGGCAGGCTATTTATCTTTATGCACAATTTTTGTACTTAAAAAATCGTTAGAATATATTATAATTTAGGAATATGTAGATAGTTGCTATATAACATTTATAGCGGCTGTTTCGGTTAACGCAATTAACACACCTATTATTTTTTTTAGAGAGACATGCATGCTTAATCGTAGGAAAAATAAATTATTTAAAAAATAAAAATTGCATACCTTTTAAGTTAAGGCCGGAGCAAAACGGCAGTTAAACGCAATTTTGCACGCACCTTCAATATTACCGTAAATAAAATAAATTTAATTAAACTATTATTTTAATACATTTTAATTTATTTTAAAAATAATATTATTAAGTTTGTAAACATTCAAAGCGGTTGTAATCATTTTTGAGATTAAAATCACCATCACATAACGTATCAAATAAAATTTAATATTAAAACAAAGTAAATAATTTTTATTTTCTCCTTTTTTTACAGAGTCATGCGACTTGATCCGATATCAAATGAAGATTTTAGATCTTTAAGCTCAAGATTTTCTGTAAGTTAAATGCAATGGAAATTAATCATATTGGTCATTTCTTAATAAGTGTCTTTCTTTGAACAAAAAAGAGTATAGCATTCGAATCTCTACCGTCCTGGGGAGGATCTGAGAAAACAGACACAAGACTGCCAATTACCGACTACTCAACACTTGGTGGCCCACGTCACAATCGTAGTCCATTCCCTCTTGCAAAAGACATAAACAATCGTTTCGTGATTTGGTAAATATTAAAAAACATAAATTAAAATATTTTTTTTATATGTATATATAGTAGATAAATTTATGATAAATAACATATGTATAAAGATATATATATACACATTTCAATTATTTTAGTTTAATTAAATTGATTTTAACACAGGGATGGCGATATTACAACACTCGAAGTAGATGCCATTACCAATACAACGGATGAAACATTGACTGAATGTAATCCCATATCGGAACGGGTTTTTACTGACGCTGGTAATGAATTAAGAGAGGAGCTCAACAGTAACATTAAAGGTCAGCACTGACACGCAAATAGTTCGCCATAAATTTCTTTTGGGAACAATTAATTTGTTTATATTCCATCATCTTCCCCCTTTCTCTTACAGAATGTCGAACGGGTGATGTGCGTGTTACGCAAGGTTTCAATCTACCTGCGAAATATATATTACACACCGTGGGACCAGCATTTAAAGAGAAATTTAAAACTGCTGCAGAAAATACTTTACATTGTTGTTATAGGTCAGTAAAATATCATGCTATTGAACCTGAAATATTGTAGCTATAAAGTGTTTTTGTTTTTGTTATTTAATATTTACAATTACGAAACAAAGAGTGAAAAATCTATTAGTAGTAATTTATTGAAGTAATCATAATTCAAAATTATTCTTTGATATTCACTTTTATATAATCCACTAACTAAAACGCAAGCAAAAACTAAAAAATTATTATAAAATATTGACTATAATGTATCACTTTTAGATATACATTATAATCATGATTTGATAATTTCTTGTCTTCACGGAGTCAATAAATTCCTTTTATGTGATCCAAATACGTCACTGTTGTCCAAAATATTTTACAACTGGGTGTGATCACCCATAGGGCACTAAATACCATACTTTAAAACTAGTCATTTCTCCGGACTCCATTCCTTGAAACTATGAAAATTTATTAGCTAATAACTAAGAGGAGCTTGACGCTTTTTTTCTTATTTCACTGGATTATTGGTTTTTACAATAATTTTATGGTAGGTTGATCTATATCTAGCCCATGCTAAAAATTTATATCAAAACATGTTTATAGGTTAAAAACGAGATGGTTTCGAAGTAATCTCTCGATATTTTTTCGATAAAAGATCAATTACTTCCTGAATATTGAATGTTCTTGAATAATATAGGTTCAAACATATCTTATCTTCTACAAAATAAAGTAGATTTTTTTTGTAGAATATTAACTGGTGGTGCTTGCTACAATATTATATAGCTCCATTTAGTATTGCAAATTAGTAATGAATCTATACATAACTCGTATCGTATCTTGATCCTTCATTAAGACCCATAAAACAAGAAAAATCGAAACCATATATTATTTCGCAGTTTAAAGAACAATCAGAAAGGTGAAAGATGTCTGAAGAAGGTCAAGACATAGACTGTGCTATCAACCAATGACTATTTGACAACCTTAAAAAATATCGCATATTCGCTGAAACGCTGTTAATATGTAATGTTATTGTAATTACGTTTTCATTTACAAAGGGGAAAAAATTTATTTTATCACAACTTCTTTAGTTGTGATGGATCGAATTCATGACAACATGTATTACGAATCGATTAACCATCTGATTTAACGTGATTGTTGCCATAAATGGATACTTTTAAAAACTTGATAACTTAAGATACATGTAAATTTTTTGGGTTGCAGTTATTTATTCCTATTAGTTCCTTGTTATTAATTTTCTATAGTTTCTGATCTAAAACTTGGTGCAATTTCTTATTCCATAGGGCCACTTCTCCCTCTCAACAGTGTGATTTGATGATTTGATTGGATCACAATAAAAATAATAACATCTATAAATTCCTTATTAAATACTTCAGCGGTGATATTAGACACATCAATATTATTAGAATATAATCTTAATACTATGTGTAATTAAGAACCATTAAGAGCATTTTTTTTTATTATAAACTTAGATAAATTCTAATGATAATTAAAGTAAACAATATCAGGTGATAGTTAGTATGTTATTAGTTAATAGTTATAAACTATGTTTATGTTTATGTTGAGCTTTCCTAGTTAGTGCATCTGGGCACTTTTACTCTATAATAGCTGGGGGGTTACTGTAGAGTCCCACCCATCTCACTGACTAATCTGAGTATTCCTCATACTTTTGTTATGAAACCAATACGATCTGTTGGAATTTATTTGAAAAATATTTTATGAGAATAATATCATTTAGTTATAATTGTTTTGGAAATGATATACAAGAAAATTTATACGTAATTTAGGTAACGTTGAGTTGAATTATACAACTGTCGAATATTATTGCTACACGTTAAGATCATCACTTACCCAATGTGATATCTTTTCCTTTTTCCAATCTTGAAAATCATTTACTTTCTTTAACGAATTTTGCTAATTATTCTGTTTTAGTGTCGATAATGGTTGATGGACCATTATATGCCATTCGACCAGCAATTCTACATTATATAATTCCGAAGGTATGAAAACAGGACAGTGACATAGAGGATGATATATACTTTAGTCATCTTCCCTGTTATCTTACCTGATTAAAAAAAGGTTTGGGGTTTTGGCATGGATTTTTATTAGAAAATGTTATGTTATTAATACTATCAGTACAGAGATAAAGAGCCTTACTTATTGTAATACTGCATATAATTATTTTTTATTCAATCGGGTCAAATAAATCTGGAGTTCTTGCTTCTTATGTTCCATCTCACATTACGCACCTAACATAGTTTAGTTTTACGTTTATTAGTTGCTTCAGTGGTGTTATAGCCATAGTTACCTCTTGTTTCTTTTGGCGAATGTATGGAGTCTAGTTAGTTCATAATTTATATTAAAAATTCACATTATTCTATACATATAATGATTAAAAAATAATTTAAAAAACAGTCGACTTATTGCATTAGCGAGTTATCATATATAAATTATTGCAACGCAATATAAATTTTTAGTTATTCATTATGTTATTGTTTTATATATTGTATAATTATGAAATACAACTTAAAATCCTCACATTCATGATTATGAAAATTTAATACAAAAATCAGGTTCTTTTAATGAGTCATATCAAGTCACATAAATCTTTTGAGTATAACGCATTACGGATTTTTTCCTCTGCTTTCTGCATTACTAATTATCATAACTACATGTACCGTTTTTTAGTGATTTTAGTATATGAAAACTTGATTTAGTATTTTTTTTCAATTTCATGAGAATAAACTTTGCATCCAGTGGTGTAGCAGAAATTTTGCCAAGAAAACTAATTATTTTAAAATATTTTTCAAAAGGAAAAAATAAACAAACAAAACTTTTATTATAATTTTTTAAATTATTACTTATCTTATTTATAGCCTCTTCACATGATATCTTAATTTTGATTATAATCTTCCGACTCACAAGTAATCTGTTCACACGGTAATTCTTATTTTTATCGTGATATTGTTTTTCATTGTTGTATTTGTAGTTATTGAAAATGAAATTGAAAATGCAGCAAAAATTTTACTTTTTTTTTTGTTAAATTTCTGAGATTAACTTACAATATTAAATATTACATTAAATATAATACAATATTTATATATAATATAATATATAATTATACAATATTATATAAAACTTACGATAAAATATCGTATTTTTGTATAAAATTAGATTGTTATTTAATTTATATTAATTGTAAATCAAGTTGAATAAGCGGAAGGAGTACTACATATATCAAGGCTGTTCAAACCAGATGCGATAGTGGGCCAATACAAATCACTGTATAGATTGGGGGCCGCAAAAATAAGTACATACGTTCATAGTTGTTTTCGACAAAAATAAAAATAAGTTTATAATGTAAAATTCAGCTTAATTAATTAATCAATTTAAATTCATTTATTTGTTTTACCATAAATATAAAAAAATATAGTTTTACCAGTACACCAAAAAAAAATTTACGTAATTGTAGTAGATTAAAAAGATATCGCGGGCCGCACAAACATTAGCTACATGCGGCCAATGGCCGTGCTTTGGACAGCCCTGATCTATATTATCACAATGTTATCGCGCTTTTGTCCATACTAAAATTCAATGCACATTTCAATATGTGCTAAATCCTATAACTACAAAAAACACACACCTTATAATAGATATAAAGAAGAGGTTTATGTTGTTGTTGTAGCCCGTCGGGATCTGCTTGTGTGACCCCTTTGGAGGATGTTGAATGGCACTTGGTCGTCTTCGACGAGTGGCTCCGGGACGTAGACCTGGCCGTTCTAGAAAGAGTTCTATAAATAGTTTCATTTGAAAAATCTTGTTTCTTGTCTCTTCTATTTTGGATAAGTGAAAATTTTTAAATCTTATGAAATCATTGTTGTATTATTTCTTAAAAATTAATATTCAAAATTGTTCTTTCATAGATAGTCCCCTTTTGCTGTACTTCCTGACTACGCCTTTGCTCATATGCTTAACTATATTTATATTTACCGTGGGGTTTTTATTTTAGCAAACCCAGAAACATTCTTTGTTGATCATTGACTCAAATCTTTATTTATAAAGATAAAAATATAAAATCCCATAATATAAGCTCCCATATTAAGTCTTCCAAAAATAAATCGAGATTAATTTTGTTTGTATTTTTTTACATAATTTTCAGAAACGTTTTGTGTAAAGCCAAGGAACTTAATTTGCGAACAATTGCATTGTGTAACATTGTTACCAGCCAACAAAGTTTCCCAGCAGATTTAGCGGCTCACATTGCATTACGTAAATATAAATAATATATTTATTCAAATATAATAATTCAAAATATCTCATTGCAGGCACAATACGTCGTTATCTGGAAAAATTTACAACTCAGATTGTGATATTATGTGTAGGTTCGAATGAACGCGGTATATATGAAGTTTTGGCACCTTTATACTTTCCACGAGATCATTTAGAGGAACGTAGCGCATTGTGGCAATTGCCAAAGGATATTGGCGGAGAATTCGGTGAACCACAACATCCTGATCGACAAATACGTATCATACGAAACCCACAACACCGAGTATTAATGCGTCATAGTAAGTACACCAGAGATAAACCCTATACGAGTACATTTCAAACCGTCAGCCTTACATGAGAAAGAGTATTTTGCGCTTTAACTGAAAGTGGGTTATTGACTCACTCATTGATAAGCGTTGTTAAGATAAGATTAACCAACAAACTGGAAAGAATTTGAAATTGACAATTGACAATTTATTTGTGGTATTCCGATTCAGTTAACTTTCATGGCAAATACCGTTCACAAGTGCCTGGAAAATTTTCGGTGAATAAAATTAAATTGAAAAACTCAACAATTTTTATTGAAAGTTCGCAAATCGCAAATCGCAAATACTCGTAAATTAAAGTAAAAAAATTATACATTTGTGCATAAAATTCGAGGTATTGTAAATTAGTTTGTATGGGAAGGGAATAATCAAGGGAATACTTAAAAAAGTTTTGAGTGCACTTTTGCTTACTAATTAAAAAACACTATGTATTCATGTATTCAGCGAAAGTTTTCCAATTTGAAATGAAATTGAAAATATTCAAGATACTTGAATCAAAATACTTGAATCGTGATTTAAATAGCAAATACGTCATTAATTAGTGATTAATAACATTTTTGTTTAATATTATGTTCGAAAACCTTTAAAATCTTATTCTATTTATTTATAAAAATGTAAATAATATAAGTTTATTAACTGAAAAGAAATTAAGCAGTACAAATTATCTATAAAAGCGAGAGATAACGTTTAGATAATTCAGGTAAATAGTGCAATTTAAACGTTCCACAAACAAATAGAACGATAATCAGTAATATGTTGTTTATTACCAACACTAAAAGTAATACTGTCTTATTATATCAACTAAAACAGTTTTCTTTAATTTGATCTAAATTCATTCAGACATACTAGACAAGTACTACAAAACAAAATAAAACTGCTTATCATTTCTTAGATGAAATAAAGCCAACGCTTCATATTTTGACGAGTTTAAGGAGTACCAAGATCGGAAAGACAAATTTATCAATGAAAACGCTGACTTTCTTGCCAAAAGACAATCCCATTTGTTGTTCTAACTGTTATTTGGAATACTTATGGAATACCTATGAGGGATTCAAAATGGGTTTTTAAAAGAATAATAACCACAACAATAGTGCATTTCAAGTTTCGTATAACTTAACTTCTAGTTACTTAAGTTTTATTTTATATTTTTCATTGATAAATATATTATTAATTTTTTTTTTTTTTTTTGCCGCTGTGCATTTGCATATATTTTCTTTTCCTCAGGACAGAGTCAACAGAAATCACTTTCTACCGTACCTATATTCTTCATGTGGTAATTGAGTCTATAGTGTCCTGTAGACTTTAATATCATTTCTGCTAAGGTTAAGAATAATATCAACTTTGATGATAAATATATAGTCCTATCCATAGAGCAATAATATTTCCCTAAACATTTGCATTTTGTGCAAAAAGTTTGCGGAAGTATTAAATGAAGCCAAAAAATTATAATTTTCAATTATAATCGCAATTGCTCTATACCAAAATATAGCAATCATATCCATATTGATTCAAAAAACATATAAATCAATGTTAAACCATAAAACCTACAGATTCACTAATATATTTTGAATTATTATATATTGATATTTATTAAAAAAATGTTTCGTAGTTTGAAATTGTTATTTATCGTTGGAGTTTAGTTTAATATGCTGTGATTTGTGTTAAATAAGTTCATTGAATTTCTTAACGTTAAATACGTTGTTCATCATTATTCGCCATTTTTAAGCTACTTTACATTGCAGTCTTTTTACACTTCGTTGACAGAAATTTTTTTCAGATGGGGCTTTCGGAAGATTTCAGGAATTCAAATAATTATTATCTTATTAAGCAGTCTTAATGCAATAATAGTGGGTGCATTATTAAAAAATCGTTCTTTATTTTTGGGTAAGGAGTAGGTTCATCTTCTCAAACCCAGCTTCGTCTACTGGTTTCATGCCTAGAGGGATCGAAGCACATAACAAAGTGTTCTGGTGGTTCAGTTACTGTACATATAAATAACATTTTCTATGTCTTTATCATATATTTAAAAATAAATCGAACTATAGATACAATATTGTATATTGGAATAAATTTTTCTATGACATGAGAGTATTTGAAAAAAATTAAAGACACTAAATAACTGTGAACTTTAAAAGCAAGAGTATTTTTTCATTTGTTTATAATCGCAAGAGTGCTTAAATATTTAAAATAGATTTCATTAAATGTGTGAAATATTAAAACTAGAAAAATTTTGTTTGCTATCAATTACGTCAACAAAATTATATAGTATAAACATTTTTTTTTAGTTACTCGATATATTTGGTTATATGTAGACTATTATTGCTGATAACACATATAATCAATTTATACTCGTATATAAACAAAAGGTTTCTAATTTCAAATAAAAACGTGATTGAATTTACAATAGCTCACATTAGATATCCATAATAGGTGTCAATTTAAATGAATGCGAACCCTCTGTAATATTATACCCGTATCTATTATATTTGCATAAAAAAAAGTATTTTTGTTTATTAAAAAAACCCATTCAGATCTAGCTATTGAAACATTTGACTTCTCATAAACAAATAAATTAAATATATTTATATCCATGTCTCCTATATATAATGCATTCAATATATTGCAAGTGTTATTTTTTTTATTAATAGAATGAATCATCAAAATAAATATATGCATTTTCATTAGTTATCAATACTCGCCATAAAATTTTTTATATTCCGTTGAGTTCTTTATTATTGTTTGGAATGATCAATGTCGAGTAATTAACGAAACTTTAATTACTTTTAGATTACTATTTAGGATATATATAATTAGTAGCATTTATTGTAATTTGAATCATGATAAACGCAGTGCAATCAAATCATAAAGCTAGATTTATTATGATAAAGCGTTGACTTGTATTTGAATTTTGGGTTGATGATATTCTATGATATAACTTATCAGAGTTAATTGGTTCGTCAGATATAATTGATTAGCAGCAGAACTAATTGTAATTGTAATTGAATTGTATATATAATAAAATAAATTGAAATAAAAATAAAACTACGCATTTGGTTTATTGTAATAAATCGAATACCTAAGTCACTTATTTCACAACTCCTGACATTCAGGAGTTATTTCCATTATTGTTGTTGGAAGGGATATTCGTATTGAAATCTATTGCTATGCTATTCCTGCAGAAAATGTCATTACTTAATCTGAAAAAAATATGGCTTTTGATAAATCTTACAACATCACTAGGTTCACAACTCCCGACATCATTCAGTTTAATGAAATCTATATTATTGTTGGAAAGGACAATCACCCTTTAAGATCCATTGTGATGTTTTTGGAGAAAATACACTAGACTAACCAAAACGCTTTTGATAATACTAACTAACTTACAAGTCCAGACATCATTCAGTTAAATTATTTCTATTATTATTATTGAAACGTACAATCGTATTTCGTGATCTTTAGAATTTATTGTGGTATTTCTACAAAAAGTGCCGTTGCTTAATCTGCAAAAACTACGGCTTTTGGTAAAAATTTCAAAATCACTTGGTTCACAACTCCCGACATCATTCAGTTTAATAAAATCTATATTATTATTGAAAGGTACAATCGTGTACCGCGATCTTTAAAAATTGTTGCTGTGCTATGTCAGCAGAAAATGTCTTTGTCTAACTTGCAAAGAAAAAATTAACTCATTGGCTTTTGATAAATCTTACATCACTTGGTTCTCAACTCCAAATATGATTCAGTTTAATAAAATTTATTATAATTAGAGACAATCGTATATCACGTTTTTAAAATTGTTAATACTATATTTGAAGAAAAGCAGGTAAGGTGAGCTGGACAAATGAATGCATAGGATAAATCTAAATGAAATTCAATTTGGGGTAGCAAATAATCACGGATAAGATGGGTATATCTTTCACTCTGCAGTTTTCAAAAGCTGTCATTGTCTCTATAATTTAAAATTTTTATTGCATCAATAATCAATTCATCCAAAAAGTATGCTTTAAAATCGTGTCTTTTTGATTTGTTGAACTGCCTTACCATTGCAATGGTAAGGTAGTACGCAGTTTCCAATTTTTTGTAAAAATACATTTTTTGCTTCAGCTCATCAGATCTCTGAGGCTGTGAAATGCTTATCAGTTAACAAAGCCAACAATATTTATTTTCAGTAAAATCTGAAAGATAAATCATTTTATCTTCTGCATGATTCGCAACGCCAACATTCGAGCAACAAAAACTTAAAGCCACCGAATTAGTTCAACGGGTTTTATGGAATTGCGCGCTGCACAATTTATTTCTTAACTTTTTTATTCGTTTTCATTAAAAACATTAAATCTGAATCAATCTGGAAACGTATTGAAAGGCGTAAACATTAAGTGATGATCACTTTCGACTAAAAACTTATATTTATATTAATCAGTAAAAAAAAAAGTTATAATAACGTTAGAATTAAAAAAAAAAGTTGTCAATTTGAATAGCGAAAGAAAAAATTATTAAATTTATTAAAATAATTTTGATTTTATAAAATTAAACAAAACAAAAATGATAAATAACTCATTCTGCTTCTCGTGTAAATATTTTTACATTTTATTTGTGAAATTTATAATTTATTTACCACAGACAAAATTTATTATCATGTCTTTATTTCAGCTGACGACGATTCCGATACCAGTCCACACGATATGGAAGGTAATAGCTCTGATTTGGAATACGGCCTCGATAACCTAAACGGATTACAACAAAATCGAAGAAATCAAACTTATTCCCAAATGCAGGTTCGTATAAATAATTTTTAATTATTTAATATATGTTAGTATTAGATAGATGTTCTTTGGGTATTGGTATAGATCGAAATATTTGAACTATTTATATATATATTTAGAAATATTTAGAGCTCGTGTTCAAAATTGTACTTTAATATATATTTATTTAAAATGATTTTGAAATTCAATAACATTGCAATTATAATACTCAGTGAATAGGATATATCTGCCAAAATTAACAAATTACAGTTTATTTCGTGAAAATTAGTTGTGAGATCTGCCCATGAGGCATTGTATATGACAGATGTTATATTAATGAGCTACATATGTCCATATTCGCGCGATATGAAGTTTAGAATTAGTTTTTTCAGCATTTTGTCTTGTGTAAGAATAAAGTTGTAAAGAAATGGATATATATATATATATATATATATATATTCTTATAGTTACGGAGATATACTGTCATAGTGGACTATTTAATGGAGAACAGTGACGCAACTATTATATATATAGTGAAACTATTGTTTTAAAATTCAATTTATTACTATTCAGTGATCTTTCTTAATGAAATGGTAGGTTCATTCACCTTTATTTTCTGTTACGTATCGTATCATAAGCATAATTAGGAAGCATAGTAGTGTGGAAGCAGTGGGCTTCATCATAAAAATGGATAAGTTAAAAAAAGGTTCTCACATTATATTTTATCTGTTTTCATTATACAAAATTATAAGAAATACCTATACGCTTGTCGATATCTTTGCAAATGACCCATCACATTTAGGGCAGCAATCATTCCTTTGGGGCTTATTTATATTATAAAACATTACTTCCGACACACTTATAAGGGAGTTTCGTACCATAGGTTATTCTTTTAACTACTCTCATGTATCATAATTCCATTTTTGCCTCTTTAGATTCGTTGCTCGTGATTAGCAACTACGTTTTTAAAAACGCCATTTCGTTGGTCGGTTACTTTTGAACTAAGGTGCTTCAATTTGTTATAACGTTATGTATTTCTTCATAAGACTTCTTTGGGTGCTCGATTTTAATGTTAGATGAAATGTTTTATCATAAGGCTTCAATAGGATAATTATGTACGTATACATAAATTTTATCTAATCTGAAACTAGTTTTTAAAATCTTATTCTATTCAACCAAATACCTTCAATCTATTAGATTTTAAAATTTGAATATTTATTCAAAGAGAATATGTAAATTTATAAATTTATAATGTAAATTTTATTAAATAATTATAGAACTCTCCGGAAATTCATCTTCATTAATGGTTTCAGCGTAGAAGATCAACCAATTATTCGTCTAAAAACTTTAAATTCTAATGATATTATAATATATATGTTATGATAAGATTTTTCGTACTGATACCAAATGAAATCCAATTAATAATAATAAGTATCGTTTATATATTACTCGTATGTTTTTTTTTTAATTGTACACGAATAAACTTTATTCTAGTATAATTAATTTTAATCCCATATCTAAACAGGAAACATCTAATATACCTATAAATCCTTTCAGCAAAAATGTTTTAGATATTTATAATTTATATCATCCGATAAACAATCTATATCAAACTTTGTATCCAACTTTTTTTTTATATTTGTAATCACCCTCTTATGTTTTTCTTCTATGTTTCGTACTAAACTTTGACCCCCATATGTTATAAATGTGCTTCTCTACCAGCTATTTTCTTCAGAATGCATCCTTCTATAAGCTTTTCTTCCTATTCTTATGTCTTCTTTGACTTGGTCGCTCTTTTTATTTAGTTTTATATAAGTATCTTAATAATTTGAAGTTACATTCTTGAAGAGTTTAATTCGTATATATGTCAGATGCAAGCTCACCTTAACAATCTCCATCTTCTTATAGGTTATCAATTTCATCATTCGTTCTATATACTCTATTTTTATCTTATTGGCTCTAAAAAAGTTTATAACATATTTTTTCTAATTTCAACATGTTCTTCTTATTATCTTCATCATATATTCATCATATCATATATTTATATATCCTCTTCTTTGAATGCAGTGTCTAAGACGTACCATAGCATTTGGTTCTTTGAACTCTTATAAATTTCCAATTTTAATCTTTATTTTTGATAAGTGTTATAGAGAATAAGTTCCTCAATTGAGAAAGAGATATATAGTTTCTACATACATAAGCAGTCTGTAATTAATTTCACACTAGTACCAATAAAATCTTTATTAGAAGTTAGATCTTTAAGATTTGATGTTACTTTTAAAGTATTATTCGAGATTCTTAATATAAAATTTTAGATCTTATGAACCAAACTAAATGTTAGTGGATTTTAATTATACTTTCTATTTTCGACTAATTAAATTTATTTACAAAATTTAATATTGATTACTCTAGACATTTTTTAAGACACCAACTCAGAAGACCCACCACTCTTACTTATCTTACTTAAACCGCATAGTCCTGTAGTTAAATACTTGATATAGTATTATACTATTATAATATAATAATATGAAGTAATGAAGATGATAGTGAAGATGGCAAAAAAAAACACTGAAATAAATTATAAATTACATGTGATTTATTCTATCATTCTATCTATCTTTAAAAACGCCTTTACATTTAAATTCATCTTCCTTTGCTACATCAGATCCAGATCTTCCACCAGATCTTCGCCTTTGGTCTAGCACCATTTATTACAAGTTATTCTTACATGGAATTGCTTTTCATTATGATATATTCTTTTCGAGACCACTAACCAAAATGTGCACCTTGGCTACTCCCATAGTTAAAGCCACTTATTTGTTAAGAGTGGATGATCTTACGTCTTTGTGACTATTTTGTGACTATCATAATAATTCATTGTCTAGTTTTATATTATATGATACTATAAGTAATATTAAGACGAATATAAATATTTTTACATAAAAGTAATAAAATTAATTATAATTGTATTGTTTAAATAAATTCCAATTCTTGTAGTACAAATTTATACCAAGCAATATAATAAATGTTTCCTTTTGTTTTAATTTCTAGAGTGACTTGGATCGACAACATCTTTTGGGTGATAGACCACGAAATGGCGTTTTTGAGAACGTTGTTGCTGACGGTATTGAAGGCCTTGAACACCAAGAGCGGTATGTAATTTTAAACCATAATTTAAATAGATTGTATTTCATTTAATTCAGTAAACACAAGTAAAAGTAGCCATACGGAAGATAATTGTACTTCGTACTAAACTACCTGTTTTAATCATTTTACGTCACAATTCTAGAATGGAGCAACAAGACAATGATTTATTTGTCTCTAAACCCTTTGCAAAGATTGTTGTGACTACTCGTATTTACTTAAATAACAACGTTTCAACTAATTTTAGTGCGAATATATGTAAATCTATTCATATAGGTACATATATATTGAAAATAAGTGTGGCATCTGATATTATTTTTAGGTTTGTTACTTTGCATTTATTGAGTTAGTGAAAAAATACAACAATAATATTTAAAAATAGTTTATATATAAAAAACTTTATAAACAATTTTTTAATTACTTTAGGCATACATATTCATTTTATAATATATTCCATAAAAGTTGTATTGACTACTTAAGAGTCTTAACTATTTAAAAACTATGTGATGTGTTTCATAAAACTTTTACTCGACCAGATCTACATTTTTACAAACTGTTGTTATTAAGTACTACATTTTCTCATTATATATATATTGAAATTTATACAATAATACTTAAACATAGGTATATCATAGTAGATATATTACCTTAAGAAATATATGGGTCCATTGTGATAATACATAGAAGTTTTGTTGCTATTTGTTGTTAATTTAGGTTTTTTTCAAGCAAACAAAGTCTATAATAGTTACTGCAACAGTAATTGTTACATAGTTGCTATATACAGTAATAGTCCTAACTATTCTTAAATAGTTACTATGCTCTGCCTCATTAGCAGCTAGTATCACATCACAATAGTTTCTATATCTTTTTCAATGTACTTTCCAGAAATTACTGTTGAAGATTCTCTTTAGAAACCAATTTGTCAGTAAATGATGCGTAGAATATATTTAATACCCATGTATTTAAACAATATATAATATATTCATGATATAAAACTCTATGTTCTGCTAATTTTGCATACGTTTATAATTATTGTATTTATTGAGACCATGACTACGTATTGAGATCATTAAAACTAGAGATCATTTTTCTTAATATATAAAACCCATAGAGCATCACTATTGTCTATTTTTAGTGAAATGGATCTATTTTATATAAAGACATACTTTATTAGGATTATTAAAATCTTAAAAATGTTTCTTAAAGTTCCAATACATTGTTCCAGATTTTTTCCACTTCTAATTACTATATTTTTTATTATATTAAAAAAAGAATATATAATTTCGTTATAATAGTTACTCATAGAATTTTAAAGAATTAATAATTTATTTGATTTAAACTGTAAAAATATCAAGGAAAACAAATTATTTATGTTTATTAATAATTGCTTTATTGAAACACCAAAATCATATTTTTTGCAATAATGAGTCAAATATATTTTGATATTTCATTTCACTGAAAAGTATTAAAAATAAAAATATGGAATACATAAATTAAAATCGTGTAAAAAAAAAATTTTATTTATTATTAATATTCTACATGAATATTTTCAATTGCTTTAACACCTGTTGTTTTCAGAATTCAACTTTTGTAAAGTAAGATCATTATTAATTCATTTTATTTATATTGTACTAACCTTATATCAAAAAACACATCATTTTTTACATCTTATATATTCAAAATTAAATAGACAAAAAAGTATATAAGTACAAATACAACATGTACTTTTTTCTGTAGGTAGTAATCTTTAAAATCTCTCATCTACTCTGTCTTTGCCCAGCTCATACATGGTAGCGACTCAACATTTTATGAGTCCCCTTTCTTGATTTTAATCAATCTCAAGACCTCCCACTAAACAGCATTCAAAGCTTTGCCAAAGGTTCTAGGTGATTTCAAGCCCTGAGTTTTTCTCTTTATACGGTTAACTTCAAAATCACTGCAAAAAATTCTTTTAACACCAAAAGAGCAAACAACAAGAGTTTAAAGCCACTTTCTAGTGCTCTAACAGAGCACTTCACATGCAAAAAACTTCTACATAAAATTGGTGTATTCAGCATAAATATTTGCAAATTTTGCTGCGATGAGAAAGAGTCTATGGAATACCTGATTACCAATTGTGATGCACTAGATCACAGGAGACACAAAATTGTAGGTGCAGAGTTACTAGCAGTTAAAGACCTTCAAAAGCTCCCTCAGAAAAAACTGGTGCATTTCCTCAATATGCTAAACTTTTACATACAAAGGTATGCACAATAGATCTGGTCGCAGTACATAAAGGCCTAAGCCTAAACCATAAACCATTACCATTATCATAACCAATCTTCAAAAACATGCTTGTAAAACTTCAATTCACGAAAACCACCTTTTAGAAATGGATTATGAAAATTCTCAGAATGAATAGCTCTATATAAAACTCTATATGAAATTTCATTAAAGCATCACATACGAGAGAAACTCAATACTCAAGAGAAATGTAAAGGGAATGATGGAGAAATAGTGGAAAAATTAGAAAGAATTAGGAATTGAATGCAAACTACATGATTATAATAAAGTGAGAGTATATCGAGTATCACCAAATTAAATGTGTACTAATAGGTATTGGATTGCTTGTGTCTCAACACCTTCAATTGATGAAATATCTTCGTAAAAGAATATTTAGTCAATGCAAGTTACTTGAAAACTGTTACACACAAATAATTAGATGAAGCCTTGTATTTGATGAAAATTATATCTAGAAAGTTAGTTTTAAATATTTTTCTATTATTCCTTACGCATAAAATCTATTTTTATCTAAATGCTAAATCAGTAAAATGGTATTTTCTATAAATAACATGTTTTAATCATTTCATTATTAAATAACTAACTTAAATATTAATCTGATAATTTTATGATGGCAATTAAAGCATATTTTTTGTTAGAAACAAAATACATTATTAAAGTATGGACCATTTCCAATTGGAAAAAATTTTTTATCTTCGGAAGCAATTAAGTCTTGTAACTACTCTCTACCTATTATATTAAAATTGTTAAACCGCTACTCGTTTAGTGCATTATTTATCAACCAGAATTAGTACAATCTAATGGAGCTTTGTTTGAGGATTACGGCTAGTGCAGTAGGTCTCCCCTTCCGGTAGTTTTATATCAGATTTCTCGTTAAATCTATAATGCCCAATAAATTGAAAAACGTAGAATTTAACATTAAGTTCAAATTCCTCTTGGTCATCACTGATAATGTTTTTGAATTTAAGCAATTCATGGCACTCCCCAACTCTCTGATAGTACCTTAAGTCAAGTTTCCCAGTTGTGCGACTTCGCTTTAATCACATTTCTTCAAAACAGAAATGTCATTGAAGATATTTCACTCGTATTTTAAAATAATTCTGGCAGTCGTTATAAATTTGGATTGGGAGGTCTTTAGGTATATTTTCGCAAGTTTGTGATGTCTTCTAACTAAGTTTCGTATATAAATAGCTTATTGATATGAATATTTCATATAAGCGTTGATGAGATTGATCAACAAAGTCTTAGATAGGTTTCTATATGTTTTGTCAGAATGTCATTATTAACTGTCTGATTTGAGATTCCTTTATTTCTCGTTTAGGTATTTCAAGTAACAATTTTATAATCATTACGACCCTTTAACACCTTTTTCTGAAATGTTACCCGATTTCCAATATCATAAACTGTGTACCATTCATATGACATATAGACATTAAGCTCAATCCTATTATATGGTATAATGTGGCTTGCAAGTTGTAGTGCAGTATGGTATGAATTTTTCTTTAACAGTACTTCCAATTTGGAATTATTGAATATCTTTAATTGATCAGTTCATTGTCTTTCATATTAATATCACCGCTTTTAAAATGTTGATGTACTCCTTGGCGAGCTTTTAAATGGATTGTTCATCTACACTACATTAGTTTTATTAAATAAATATAATGTATATTTCTATATTATTGTATTTTATATTATATTTTAATATATATATAAATATATGAATTTAAATGTCTCAAAAAAAATATTAAAAATTAATATAAGCAATAATGGACCTATAGCACTTGTATTGCTTTCAGATCCACACAAAGTGTTGTACTAAATAAAATAATAAAAATCATATATATTATTGTGTACTCATATCTACTTACAGTCATACATTGTACCTGTAGACATATGTTTTTAACATTAAATAATCAGATACGGAACTACATGACTTTCTAATAAATAGGGTATGATGACACTGTTCTTGTTGTAATATGCATTGTACTAAGTAATTAATTTCTACTAAATTACTATGGCATGAATGTTTCTGACATGAATTCAATTATTTTTTCTTAAATAAAAAAAAATAAATTCATTTTCAAGCAATTTTTTTAACATAAGATACATAAATGTAAAAATAAATTGAACAAGAAAGTTATTTTTAGTTTGTTGTTACTATTTTTAGTGACCCCCAATATGGGGTAGGGTGGTCGGTCATAAAGTAAACAATGAAATATTGTAGTGACTCCTTTCAATCGATTTCAATTCATTTACATATCTGAAATTTTCATGTTCTATTCAATAGCGTCAGATAAACTTAAACAATGACGTCAATGAAACGTGCAGTATGTCCTGACGTCATAATAGAAAGTAATCCATTTTGAAACGTCACCTGAGTAACCTGAGCAAATAATACAACGTATATATAGTATATACAGATAACAAAATTGTAAGTAAAATGAATTACTTTCACTTTTACCAAAAATCAGATGAAGAATTTAATTGTTTCATATGCTTTTCCTTTTCTATTTGGCACGAACGATTTTTAGTATCTGATGACATCATGGAAGAAAAGATTTTTAGTGCTTTTACTTGTAGATATTTTTTAGTCAAAAAATTGTCAAAATGATGACTGATTACTTAATTAATAAGATTATTATGAGGTAATTAATAAGCTTATTTCAATAAAATTATCTTCTCGTTAATATTACCAAGTTTTATGAATAAGAGTTAAAAAACTGTTTTTTATTTTTTTTTTATATTCGTTTAAAAGAAAAACTACGGGAAGGAAGTTATAAAATATTTTCTCTA